CCTGCTTCAAGCGCCTTACTTGGGGTGGGAGCGGCTAGCCTCTAGACCAGGGGCAGCGACCTTTTCAAACCAAAGAGCCAAACTACATCAAAATTCAAAACCACTGGTAACAAAGCGCGGTACGAGAAGGCCCATTTGCATGACTGAAACGATACAGCAGCATAGTATTGATAAGTGACATGATTAATAATAGCATGAATGAAACGTACTCAGACTTTAATGGGATTGCGGCTGCTGCTGCATCGTTTCACACAGCTCTAATCCAGCTTTATGTGCACATTCAGGCTGTCTTCTGTCAATCTTCTGGCAGGAGAGGTGGGGATGTAGAAGTCTAGCAGGGACTATGGGGGTGCATGAGGGGCTCGGTTGGGTAGGGGTGTGTGCAGGAGTGTTATGATACTGCTGCCAGATGTGGGCCGGGCCCCAACTGGGGGCTTCTTTTTAAATCAAATAAAATACTACGTCCTGCGCACAAGGTTTCAGTGCTGGCTTGGTTCATGGCGGGGGCAGGGAACCTTTTTTGGGTCAGGGGCCACTGACCGGCAGAAAAATCCTCCATCCCTCACTGATGTGCCCCCTCCAACTGAACCACCACACCCCACTGGTATGGGGAGGGGCAGGGAGGACTAAGGTTCAAGGCCTCAGGCCAGACTTACTCTTCTGGGGCACCAGCGTTAGTGGATCCACCTAGGCTCTGGGGTAGAGCCAAAATGAGGGGTTCAGTTTCTAGGACAGGGCTGCCAGTGACTGGGATGAAGGGGGGCAGGATCTGGGCTGGGAGATGGGGTGCAAGGTAGGGTATAGGAGCAGGCTCGGAGTAGGGCATGTCTAGCCAAGGGGAGGAGGCAGGAGCCAGTTGGGGGCAAGCTGACTGGGGGGGGCTGGGCATCAGCGTTCTGGGGGGGGCACTTACGTGCTTTTGTGCACCGTGTAAAGGCCCCCCCGCTGCTCCTGGGCACCAGAAGGAAGCCTCCAGGCAGAATTTGCAGGGGAAGCATGCAGGAAGCGCTTCCCAGGGGAAAGAAAACAGCACACGCAGAGCCTGGTTGCCCAGGAATGGGGGAAGGAAAAGGGCTGTACACAGAACCATTTTTTGCTCCCTTTGTTCCCTGCCCATTGCGTCCAGCAGAGAGGCTTAGAGCGTTCGCTCCCCACCCCGCAGGCAGCCAGTGCTGGCGTTCCAGTCTTGCGGGGGGCTGTAAGGGCTGCAGTAGCACCGACACTGGCTCCCTGCTGCGGGGAAACGGGAGGGAGGGCCCAAGTTGGCACTCCAGCCACAGGTTGGCAGTCCCTGCTCTAGACACCCTACATTGGCAAGGTTTTGCGCAAATATTTTTAACGCAAGAGTTTTTACGTTTAAGTATTTGCGCAAAAGAGCGTCTACGCTGGCAGGTGCCTTTGCGCAAAAGCATCCGTGCCAGTGTGGACGCTCTTGCACAAGGAAGCTCTCATGGCCATTTTAGCCATCGGGCTTTCTTGCGCAAGAAATTCCTGGTGCCTGTCCGCACTGGCCTCTTGCGCAAAAACAGTTGCACAAGAGGCTTATTCCTGAGCGGGAGCATCAGAGTTCCTGTGCAAGAAGCCCTGATTTCACACATCAGAACGTCCGTGTTCTTGCACAAAACCCCCCGCCAGTGGAGACAGGCAGCACGTTTTTGTGCAAAATCATACGAACGTAGACACAGCCCTTCAGTGTCTCCCCTCTCAGAAATAACTGGCGGTGGAGGCCCCCATTGACAAAGCAGGAAGGTACCATGTCTAGCTAGTCAAGGAAATGGCACAAGCCAAAGGCAACTTGCCACATTTAAATCTCCTCCTTAGTTCCTCTCACATTTGTCAACCCCCAAATGTGCCACAGGACACGTGCTGGTTTGTTCTGTCAGCAACGCCCAGTGAGGATGCTGTGCAGAGCGATACAGCTACAGCCAGAGCTATGTTCTTCACACGTGTCCGGCGAGCAACACGGAAGCCTGGCGTGTCTGGCCAGCCTGGGCCTCAGGCAGAGACAAGACAGCACATGTGCATATAAAGTAAACAAAGCCAACAAGCCTGAAAGAGACCAGCCTGGCACCTACATCCTGCCGGGTAAGAGAAACTGCATCTGGGCATTGCCTGGCAAAGAATAATACACTCAAGGGTTATACTTAGACTGGTATCATAACATAGGGTCATAATATGAAAAAAGTTGAGAACCATAGTATTAAATATGTGTATAGAAAAATTTGTGGAGAGTGATATGAAATTTTTAATATGCCATGATAATTTTGATTGAACACATCCAGCTACTTTCCATAATTTTGTGGGTATAGGAAAAGCAAAAAAATCATGGGTTTCCAAACTGGGGGGCGGGAAGAAATTCCAGGTGGGGCGTGAGGTGACCCAGCTCCCCTTCCCCCTCCCCCAACAAGTTTTGCTGCCCCGGTCAGTTTTTTTTTTTTGCTCCACAAGTTTTGCTGTTTGGGGGAGGGGGGGTTCAAAAATCAAAAAGGGGGCGTGATGCCGAAAAGTTTGGGAACCGCTGGTCTAGAGAGGCTCCAGCTGAGAGAGGTGCCTGTGAGCTCGCTGGCGTTGGCAGCCACTTCCAGCCTTACCCCTTCTCTGCGTTTTCACAGACCCTGTCCCCATTTGTGGACAACCCTGTTTTCCTCCTCCCATAAGCTACCGCCGTGCTCTGACTGAACTAGTGCGCGTCAGCCCCAGGTAAGCAAATATGGCACCGGGCACGGTCTGTGGGGGGGCTTAGTGCTGCGGTTACACGTCTGAGCAGCTCAGGAATGAGGGTTCGCCGAAGCAACCCCGTGGCTCAGTTCTGGGAACCCTGTCAGGACATCCCATTAAGTTTGGGAAACAAGGCTACGCAGCAGCAGCACAGTAACACACACGCTGCCATTCTAAAGGCTGAGGCGCCCCCTTCGGCAGGGAAGATCCAGAAGCCCAAGCTCTGCCAAGTATTATTTGAAAGCATCCTGGACTATTTTAGCACCATGCGCAGGCCTCGTTTGAAAGCCCTAAAAAGCTGCGTCTTAGGAGAAGGGTTCTGCATGAATGGGGCTTTTGGGAAGATACAGGGTTAGTTTCTTAGCTCAAACTATTCATGGAAAGCAAAAAGCAGCCAGCAGCGGAGCCTCCACCATTATCACAGCTGCCACCTCTTCTGCTTGGGCTCTAGTGGAGCTCTAAGGGACGGGATGGGCAATTATATATTTCTTGAACACAGGGCTCAAAGGATAAAAATACCAGCAATACAACCCAAACTGCAAGGAGCTGAACCCCTTGCAAATACACCAGAACACCCAAGCAGGTCCAGGTCTCCGCTTCCAGGCCCACCCTCCCCCTGGTCTTGCTGCCATGGCTTGTGTAAATCCACGATCAGGCGCATCCCGCCCCCTCATTCCTCTGAAATCGACACAGCTCAGCTCCTGGGGTCCCGGGGACACAGCGGCCCTGCGTCCGCAAGGCCACTGCCCAGTCTGGGCAAGCCGGCTCTGAAAGCCGAGGGAGAGGACGCAGCGACTGCCTGAGGTACAGCGGAAGCTGCGGCACGCAGGCTGCTACCCGCCCAGCTCGTGTGACTAGGATACGGCGCTTGCGACACAGGCAGAGCGCCGGGGACAGCTCAGCACACGCGCTGCCTGGGCCTAGGCTGTTACCACAAGACCCCAGGCACTGAGTGTCCCCCCAACCCCCCCGCACATCAGGGCACTTTTACCTTTGGACCCGCTCCACCATGTGCGCTATCAATTTGTCGGAAATGCCTGGGCAGGACTCCTCAGCCAAGCTGAAGGCGTTCTCCAGCTCCTCCATCGCGCCCACGCTGCCCTCACTCAGCTTGTGCTTGTCTTTGAGCTGCAGGGCAGAAACGCTGTTAACGCCTCGCGGCCCCGGCGCCACACACAACGGCCACGAGGAGCTGCTTTGGTTGGGCCACCCAGACAACTACCAGGTAGGTTCCTCCAGCCCCACACCCCGGGGCGCTCGCCTCGGCACAGGAATAAGGGCAGCCCGAGCAGCGGGAGTGTTCACACTTCTCCACGCGCTGCCTCGCTTCCCACCTCACAGCGCACGACAGTCACAGACCCGCCCCCAACCACTGTGCTAGG